GGTGGTTTGAAATGCCGTACGTGTGGCTCCGTACTACAGTGGAGGGCATAGCACTAGAACTAGAGACAGTCATTGTCTGCGTCCAACTCCACGACAGATGGCGCTCTTGCTCTGGCTCTATTCACCACTGCCACAAGTAGATTTCCGTGCGAATTTACAGCGTTTCGGTTTTACAGCGGCCAGGTTACTCGTATTCTATGTAATAAGATTAGTACTAATAAAAGTTGCAAAGATATTAAAATCGCGACCATTATTTCATGAAAAATTTGATGAAAAAAGTGATAAGAAATAGTGCGCGGATTGTGCGCCCATTTACCTCTTTCAATTCATACGCTGTTTACAAATCGCCATTCGCTAGATTTCCTCCGGAGAGCTCCGCCCAATTAAAAAAATAGGTGCTAGCCTTGCGGCAGTGGTATCCTGAGTTGTACGAAGGGGGCGCTGCATGCAGTTTGTGTCTGCGTTATTTAGGGAGGAGTGATTGTTGAGCAGGTGGGTTCATCCAGCAGCAATGCGCAAAGGGTGGGGGATACCCGGAGGTAGTGGGGATGCTAGGAGAAGGCAGATGATGCATGTAGAAGGTAGAGGATGCCAGGAGAAGGTAGAGGGCATCTGTTTAAGGTAGAGGATGCCAGGAGAAGGTAGAGGCCCCCTATAGAAGGTAGAGGTCACTTGGAGAAGGGAGATGAGGCCAAGAGACAACCAGGGAGGACACTTACGGAATCGACTTCCTGTGTCTTCTCGACGAGCTCTCGCTCATTGAGGCGGAACTGCTCTCGCTCCTTCTCCAGCATGTCGCGCAGCTTCGTGATCATGTTCCAGTCGTTCTCCGTCAACGATGCTGCAAGAGAAGCCACAGCTAGGTTAGCATCCCTGATGCTGCATGACAAGCCATAGCTAGGTTAGCATCCCGGATGCTGCGAGAGAAGCCACAGCTAGGTTAGCATCCCTGATGCTGCATGACAAGCCATAGCTAGGTTAGCATCCCGGATGCTGCAAGAGAAGCCACAGCTAGGCTAGCATCCCGGATGCTGCGAGAGAGCTAGGTTAGCATCCCTGATGCTGCATGACAAGCCACAGCTAGGCTAGCATCCCGGATGCTGCGAGAGAAGCCACAGCTAGGCTAGCATCCCGGATGCTGCATGACAAGCCACAGCTAGGCTAGCATCCCGGATGCTGCGAGAGAAGCCACAGCTAGGTTAGCATCCCTGATGCAGTGATGCTGCATGACAAGCCACAGCTAGGCTAGCATCCCGGATGCTGCATGACAAGCCACAGCTAGGCCTAGCATCCTGATGCTGCATGACAAGCCACCAGCTAGGCTAGCATCCGAATGCTGCGAGAGAAGCCACAGCTAGGTTACATCCCTGATGCAAGTGATGCGGCATGACACGCCACAGCTAGGCTAGCATCCTGAATGCTGCATGACAAGCCACAGCTAGGCTAGCATCCCGGATGCTGCATGACAAGCCACAGCTAGGCTAGATCCCTGATGCGGCATGACAACCACACAGCTAGGCTAGCATCCCGGATGCTGCATGAAGCCACAGCTAGGCTAGCATCCGGATGCTGCATGACAAGCCACAGCTAGGCTAGCATCCCGGATGCTGCATGACAAGCCACAGCTAGGTGAGGAAACAACCAGCATCACGATACATTTATTAGCATCACAGCTGGCATTGCCAAAGCTGGATTGTGGCTATTCTATATACGCGCCAGCGTGCAGGGAGTGAATCACAGCGTGTCCACGTGATGGCCTCTTAATCCGCATAAATATCCCCAATGGCGCTATAAAGAGAGAGCGTACTTTCTTAATACGCTCTGGATATCACGCATATCTCACGTGTACATTGCGCCTTGATATTAGAGAGTTAAAACGTAGTATGACATTTATATAAAAAAGATTCGTGCAAAAACAGGCACCGCCTTTCACTTAATGAGCGTAGGGCAATTAAGTACACAATAACATCAGTTCATTTTCGCACTTCGTTGCGCCAAATAATTAACTGCCGCGTGGTATGCACTTCTTTGTTCGCGTTAAGCGCCAACAGAAATAAAATATTTACAACGGAAGCTCAAACAACATTGTCGCTAGAGTTAAATGAGCGCAATAAACCGCGCAGTAGGCAGTTGCCGGCCAGACGCTTGCACACGCAGCTGCCATATACGTACAAACTTTAAAGAGCAGGAGAGGGGAGGGGGTCAGGTTTCAGCGTGAAAACTATCGTAAATTTTTGTGCGTGCTGCTTCATATACAGGGTGTACCTACGATCAATCATCTATTTAGCAACTGTATTAATCTTATCCAGAAATATATACGAAATGGATCATCCTAAATTTATCTTCCTCTAGTCTACACATTCTGCAACAACCAGTGACCGGGTGTTTCTTCATGTTTGACTAATAACACATACTTGTTTGAAAATAATATGTACGATAAACAATCTGAGCAGACCGACGCGAAAAATCAGAAAAGCAATTAAGGCTTTCAACGCGTCACTCGGGAAGGGAACGAAAAATCTTTGACTAAATGATAACTGATGTTTCGACGATGGAGCTCATAAACGGGTTGGTTGCCTTTTTTGGTTTCTTTTTTATTCTCGAAGTTTCTCTCCTACTCGCTCCTCGACGCGGGTAAGCCTCGCTTGTCAAGTTGGACCAGTAGTATAGGCACGCGTAGCGTAGGGCAGAGATGCAACTAATTTGGCGTCATGAATCCATACGAACAGCGATCGGTGGAACAAAATAGAATGAGGCGATATTAGACACGTCCTTTACGGAGCTGTTTTATCTGCACACGTCACGGACGCTACATCAGAGCAATACATACACATCAGAAGTAGATAATAGCGGAATTCCTAATTTGTCCTAAATTCTCTAATTTCCTATTTCCCTATTGATCTACTTCTGATACAGCATACACACATGTATGTGATGTGCGCAATTATGCACATGTCCAATCCATGCAGGGATTTTTGTACGTGTATATATGTGCGTGCGTGCTGGTGGCGTGAGCAGTGAGCTTAGTTTTACCATAGTCACACACGTTACTCACTCACGCACGCACGCACGCACGCACACATGCGCACGCACTGCACACATATACCACGTACAAACACATGCGTGGACGCAAGTACGCGACCTACAAAGGTACATCACTCGCATAGCCACGCCGCCGCGCACGTGGCCGGTAAATATAATTCTGCCACACACAGAACAGATTTTAGGAGTCGCAAGGCCTAAGCCGGCCTGTACATACGGAAGGCTGCTAACTACGGCCAGTACGAAGCCGGTAGCGCACCGCCCTAGAGCATGCAGACTATTCTATTCGTATGCTATAGGCGTGCTAGGAAGTAGTGATCACACACAGAGTACAGAGGGAACGGACACTACCCATGCGGCTTATCAGTACATGCGCTACTAGTGCAATGAGACCCGAAAAAAAACTACAACATTTTTCCGGCAAATCATGAATCTTCAGGGCAGAAGGCCTTGAGTTAACTGGAGTACGCGCTACCAAAATCGCTACTTGAAAACATGCTGCGACTTAGTTAGACATGGAGATCGTCTATGATATTATCAAGTCATAATAGCGAAAAATGTTCTTATATATCGATTATATGTGTACTCTTGATATTATTACTCCGCCAAGGGGTTTGGCAGGAGGTTGTTTCACCGCGGGTGTTTGTTGTTTGCTGCGTTTGTTTCTTTGTGTACAGGGCCTAACTCAAAAAGTACTGAAAGCTGATTGTCATGAAATTCTTCAGGGATAGGTCAGAAATGGGCTTAACTTAGAACTGACGATTTTGGTGGTGATCCGATGCAATAATTAATTAATTAATAATATACATACCATTTCAGGATAGGTCAGAAATGGGGTAAGCTTTTAGAATTCTCTACATTATTGTGTGATCCGATCCAATTACATTAATAAAAATTTTCATACATTCAGAGAATTGAGAGGGCTGCTTGCGTGGAGCGTCTGCGCCTCTTCTAGTGTTATCAGTAGATTAGCCAGCGGGTCACGCACTTCTTTAAGTGAGGTTTCAAGTGGGGTGCTAGTCAAACATAGGCAGGAGAATATTTTAAAAGACAACGCAAGCAGCTTGTAAAGTAACTTTGCTGTCAGCAAATACATCCTATAGATGCCTATACGCTTCGCTGGATGAAGAATAATCATTGTTTCACAGTGAAAATATCAGTCAATGAATTCTGCAGTGCGAGGTGATTTGGCGGTTCGCTATTTTTCAAAAATAATGTTGCATTTTGGCACAACAGAAATTCTAATTCGATAAACCTATACGGCATATTTCGAACCCCTGCTTAGCATAATATAACACACACCGCACATATATATATATAATATACTATATATATATATGACTATATAATATATATATATATATATTATATATGTACGTGTGTATAATACATATGTATATATATATATATAATATATGATATATCTATATCAAGAGTATATAATATAGAGTACATAATCTCTATTATCGTACTCCTTGATATATACTATTACAACTAGAACGGCTTCAGTTGATTGATACTAAATATGCAATAAGATTAATATAGATATCTACACGTGGTTATATTACTGCGGATAATCGATACAAAGAGACTTCAGTGCGCTACTGGACCTCGTATCGACCTCTCTGATCGCCGACACAGGTACGAATTCACTGTGTAGGTTGAAGGTTCAGCTACTGACACACTAGTATTTTTAGTAACTTCAGACTAATGATCTGGCGCATGGCGAGTGACGGAATCTGGGTTGTAGAGCGGTGCTGTTGACCGAAGGCTACATAACAAACGAGCGGAGCAAGCTTAGAGCAGATTATCCGGTGCAGTGTTAGCAGCAGCCAGCAGCTGGCTGTGGCATGCGATTATTACGGCCCACTCACACAGAAGCCCCGCCATCAATAATACACGGCCGCACGCGCACGCAGCCGCACGCACGCCGCACATACACACACACTCACACAGGAAGCGCGCCGCCAATCATAATACACGCACGCACGCGCAAGCAACGCACGCACCCACGCCACAGTACACACACACTCACACATGGCAGAAGCCCCGTCATCAATAATACACGCACGCACGCGCACCGCACCACGCACGCCACAACAACACACACTCACACGACTGCACAGCCCTCACACACTCACACAGGAAGCACCGTCATCAGATAAACACACGCGCACGCACGCACGCAACGCACACCACGCCGCACACATGCACACACAACACTCACACAGGAGCCCTCGTCATCAATAATAACCGCACGCCACCGCGCACGCACCAACGCGCACACAGCCCACACACATACACCACACACTCACACAGAAGCCCCGTCATCACTAATACAGCACGCACGCGCGATATTGGAGCCGATATATGGAGGCGCGCCCGCATTCACACGAATGAGGGCTGCCCATAGGGAACACAGCGCAGCGCAGCGACGAACAAAACTGTATATATATGATATATACTGTAGTAAGGCAATTAATCTCCATCGTGAGCGCAGGAGAGAGAGAGAGACGTCACACACACTTCGCTGACTTGAACAAAGCGCGTAATCTTATATGATAGTACTGAAGCTGGCGGGTACCGGCGCTGCGCTGGTAAAATGCGTGCTTACTAATTCATACTACTAATAATGGGCACAATGAGGAACATTGGGTAAAAATCGACAATAACATTGCACACAATCATGAATATTAGAAATCAGTCTAATAAGATAATAAGCATGCGAAAAACTGCTTACGTATGACATTTATATGACAGCACAGCCAACTTAGAACCCTGAAAATAATTAAATAG